TATGATAAAATGTAGATCAAGTTTTAATATATATATACCTTTTACCTTCTATATTCACCAGGAAAAACCAACGTTAAAATATTGGTAAACCAGAAATCTGATCAAGATATACTGCCTTCACCTCTTCCTTACAAAAGGAAATTAAGTTTACCAGTATCAACACCAGTACAGTCTTAACTTATTAAATTGAACTGTATCAATGATCTCAATGGCTCTGTAAGTAATTAAGATATCTTACTTCTACAATAATGTATTAATAATTAATGAAAATCATTTGTTGAATAATGTAAATAAAAATATTCATACGAGAACCTCCAGTTTGACGAGGTTCAGATAATCCCTTTCGTTTTCAAAAATGTAAATACTTAAGTGTTAAAGATGAATGGTCTGTATTATTGAGGGTTGATTTTTGTCTTGGACATATTCATGTTAATAGTCTTTATGAGTACTAGAAAGGCATACAAATTCTATAATGCTTTCAGGTATATATCTTTGATTAGAAATTCATTTTATTTCTACAATTTGTTGAATTTTATGATTAAATATGAGTAGAATTTTTAATGCAGTAAATTATTTACATACAAATATAGATTTAATTTCTTAAATTATGATGGGAAGCTGTGACACTATTATTGATTTGCTCAGCTTAAAAATTGAGACTTGTGTATTTTGAAATGGATGATGAACTTTCCCTTAAAGAGATTTTTTGAATGAATTTATTAAACATGGTCAATTTTAAATTGATTTTCTGTTATTCAATAATTCATTTCTTATTTGTTTAAAGGTGATAATGAAAATGTTTTTATAACATTGGTTTCATTTCTTTTACAGTATAATATAAAGGCAAAAGTTGTCAAGTTGGAAGATGAGAAAACTGTTGTCTTATTCAAAGCCAATAAACGAGAAAAGTTATAGTGTATGGTGGCACCAGTTACATAACACTGGCTTTATATGAGCATTTGATTGATGAGGTCGAATTGGGGAAAAGTAACAGTTTTATCAATTTGATAATCCGCAGTTTTATGG